CTCTGCTCAGCAAAGAGCCTGCTTCTCCCACTCGCACTCCCCTTGCTTGTATTCTCTCTCTTGCCTGTATTCTCTCTCTTGTCTTTCTCTGTCAAATAAATAAAATCTTTTAAAATAAAAAATAAATAAAAATTAAGGCTAACTTTTAGAACAATATTACATTGATAACATTGAGGGAAAGGCACAGAGACTTCTTAGATACACCCGGTCCCTACACATACAGAGTCTCTCTATTACCAACATCCTTCATGATAGTGGGACATTTGTTACAACTGATGAACCGACATTGACACAGTCTAATCACCCAAAGTCCATGATTTACCTTAGAGTTAACTGTTGGTGTTGTACATTTTATGAGTTTAAACAAATATATGACGGCATGTATCCACCATTACAGTATCATAGAGAGTATTTTCTTCCCTAAAAATCCTCTGTTCTTGCCTCCTATACATCCCTCCCCCACTGACCCCTGGCAATCACTGATTATTTTAGTCTCCATAGTTCTGGCTTTTCCAGAATGTCATACAGTTGGAATGATACAGTATGTAGCCTTTTCAGATTGGCTTCTTTCACTTGATAACATGCATTTAAGTTTCCTCCATGTTTCTCTTTCTCTCTCTCTTTCTTTAAATTTTAGAGAGGGAATTATGGGGGAGAAGGGGCAGAAGGAGAGGGGAAGAAAGAATCTTAGGCAGGCTCCATGCCCAGGGCAGAGCCCAATGCAGGGCTTGATCTCATAACCCTGAGATCATGACCTGAGCCAGCTCAAGAGTTGGATGCTTAACTGGCTGAGCCAACCAGGCACCCCTCTTCCATGTTTCTATGTGTCTCAATAGCTCACTTCCTTTTCGTGTTGAATAATATTCCACTGTCTGGATGTATCACGGTTTATCCATTCATCTACTGAAAGCCACTTTGGTTGCTCCCAAGTTCTGGCAATTATGAATAACACTATAAACATCCATTTGCAGTTTTTTGTGTGGATATAGGTTTTTAAAAAAATTCCTTTGGAAATTAAAAGGAGTTTGATTGCTGGATTGTATGGTTAGAGTATGTTTACTTTTGTAAGAAACCACCAAACCATCTTCCAAACTGGCTATACCATTCCCAAAAGCAATGAATGAGAGTTCCCATTGTTCCACATTCTTGTTGGCATTTGGTGTTGTCAATATTCCGGATTTGGGTCATTCTGATAGATGTGTAGTGGTATCTCACTGTTGTTTTAGTTGGCATTTCCCTGATGCCACATGATGTGGAACATCTTTTCATACATTCATTTGCTGTCTGTATGTCTTCTTTGCTAAGGTCTTTGGCCCATTTTTAATGTTTTCTTATTGAGTTTTAAGAGTTCTTTGAATATTTTGAGTAACAGTCCTTTATCAGATGTCTTTTGTAAATACTCTCTCCCAATCTGTGGCTTGTCTTCTCATTCTCTTCACATTGACTTTCACAGGGACATTTTTAGTATACGTGCTGCCGAAGCGAGCACTCACAGGGACATTTTTAATTTTAATGAAGTCCAGATTACCAATTATTTCTTATATGGATCATCCTTTTCTTATTGTTTCTAAAAGGCATCAATACCACAGTCAAGGTCATCTAGATTTTCTATGTTATCTTCTAGATGTTTCACAGTTTTGCTCTGTACATTTAAGTCTGCAATCCATTTTGAGTTCATCTTTGTGACGGGTGTAAGGTCTGTGTCTAGATTAATATTTTTGCTTATGCACGTTCAGCTGTTCTGGCTTCACTTGCTGAAAAGAGTATTTTGGCTCCATTGTATTACCTTTACTCCTTTATCAAGATCAGTTGCCCATATCAGTGTGGGTCTACTTCTGGGCTCTCTATTGATCTATTTGTTCTTTTGATCTATTTGTCTATACTTTTGCCAATATCATGCTTTCTTGATTACTGCAGCTTTACAGTAAGTCTTGAAGTCTTTCAACTTTGTTCTCCTTCAATAATATCTTGGCTATTCTGGCTCTTCTGCCTCTAAAGTTTAAGGTATAAACTTTTAAAATCAGTTTGTTGATATTCACAAAATAACTTGCTGGGATTTTTATAGGGATTGCCCCAAATCTATAGATCAAGTTGGGAAGAATGGACATCTTGACAATATTCGGTCTTCAACACGGACTTCCCATTCAACTGAAATTTCATTTGTCAAATGGAATAATCTCCTTTTTATAGGGTTGTCTGAAATGTTATCCAGAGTACTGTAATCCCTAGCACAATGTCCCTGCTCTCAGGAAGCTTCTCTTTTAGATGGGAGGGGGGGCAGACAATATACAAGCATCAGATAAATTAGTAATTTCCAAGTAAGTGTTGTGAAGAAAGCATGGAATAGGGAGTGACTGGCAGTGAAAGGGCTGTTCCAATGTCAGGGAACTTCTCTAAGGAGGCAACATTTAAATTGAGACTTTCATGAAAAGGGAGAGCTAGCCATGAAGAAAAACTTCCAGACAGAAGAAACAACAAAAATGAAGGCTCTGGAAGCAGAAATGAACTTGATGGTTTAGAGGAGGACATGGTGGCTTCAGTGTAGTGAACAAGGCATAAATGAAGTTTTAAAAAATAAGTAGACAGGGGTCATATCCTGTAGGATATTTATTCTTAAAATTAAAGTATAAAATACATGCTTTGAGGTACACAAAATATACAAATGTCAAGTACACAGTTCAATGAATGTTCGCATCTATCTCGATCTGGAAATGACCTCTTCCAGATCAAGATAGAGAACAGAGGTCAGCAGACATTTTTGGTAAAGCACCAGACAGAAAATTGCTTAGGCTTTGTGGGCCAAGGGCCTTTCTTGCAACTACTCAGCTATAGTACCGTAATAGGAAAGCAGATATAGATGCCATGTTAGTCAGTGGGTATGGTGGGATTCCAAGAAATCTTTAGTTACAGTGAAATTTGATTTACATTTGCTTTTCATGTGTCACAAGAGTTTTCTTCCTTTGACTGTTCCTCAACCATCTGTAAATGTAAGACTTGTCACTTAGACTTGTTAACACTCTTAGCTTGCAGGCCGTATGAAACCTGGGGCTGTACAAGACTTGCCCTCTGGGCCATTAATTTACCAGCTCCTAATACACATTTCTAGTATCCTCCTTGTGTCTCTTCCCAGGTAAAAGTTCTCTCTCTCAATGGGTATTATTTTTATCATCATCAGTTACTTTTTTTAAAGATTTTTATTTATTTATTTATTTGACAGAGAGAGACACAGTGAGAGGAGGGGCGGGGTGGGATAGGGAGAAGCAGGCCTCCCACCGAGTAGGGAGCCCAATGCAGAGCTCGATCCCAGGACCCCGGGAACATGACTCAAGCCATAGGTAGAAGCTTAACAACTGGGCTACCCAGGCGCCCCACCATCAGTTAGTTTTGTCTGCTCTTGAACTTTATATAAATGGGATCATATGTCAATTCTCTTGCGTCTGGCTTCTTCAACTCAACATAATGTCTGTCCTATGGAGATTTTAAGATACATAATTTAAGTGAATTAAGATGCCACTCGGGGGTCATAAGTATGAGAGTAAAGAGAAACAGGAGTGGATGTAGGAAAGCCAGTCAGGAGTAATCCAACCAAGAGATAATAGTGGCTGGCTCTAGGGTGATAGTCATAGAAACAGAAGAGAGATTATTTTCAGTTTGAGCTCATGAATCCAATACCAGTTATTTTTGTTTTTAACCAAGTATTATAATACAAGTAGTTCACACTAATAAGTTTCCTGAATAACCTTTCTGAGACTGGCTTCGCGGATTTTCATGTATAAACCATGTTCCTATCCTCAAGGGGTTAAAACTTTTTGGCGTGGGATGGACAGACACGAATCCAGATATAATGCAATCAGTGCTTTAAGAAACCCAGGAGGGGGGCTCCTGGGTGGCTCAGTGGGTTAAAGCCTCTGCCTTCGGCTCATGTCGTGGTCTCAGGGTCCTGGGATCGAGCCCCGCATCGGGCTCTCTGCTCAGCGGGGTGCCTGCTTCCCCCGCTCTCTGCCTGCCTCTCTGCCTGCTTGTGGTCTCTGTCAAATAAACAAATAAATAAAATCTTAAAAAAAAAAAAAAAAAAAGGAAAAGAAACCCAGGAGGCTATGGGAGCCAACAGTAAGGACAGCAGCCTAGGTGTGGTCAAATGGGATCAACTGGCGGTTGTCGCCCTTGAGCTGAATTTTGAAGGAAGAATAGCTGAAAAAGGATGAAATGGTTTATGAGAAGTCCAAGAAATGTGAGATCTCTTGGGAGCTCAGTGTGGTTCTATGATGGGGTCTCAGAAATATGTAAGCTTGGTATGGGAAAAAAAAAAAAACAAAACAAACACACCGACCTGGGACTAAATGGATGGACATTCATCCACTTTTTCAGTCAAATAATCTCTCCTGGGTCCTTCTGTATGCCTTGAGGCTCCAGCATAGGCCAGAGGTAGCAAATGGGCAACCTGTGGCTGAATTTGACCCTTAGATGTATTTTGGCCTGCTGGGTGACCACTGGAAAATAGTGGTTTGAATAGTGGCTATTCTTGTGAAACAGAGCATATAGTCTCCAGTCCCTCACATTCCTTACCTGACCCTCTTCACTTATATTACTTTCGTGGCTCTTTTAGGTATTTTAGCTTTCTTTCTTTTTTTCACATTTATTTTCTTATTGAAGTATAATTAGCATACAATGTTATGCTAGCTTCACGGGCATACGTTTTTCAGTTTTCAACCCCTGATCTTTCCTGTAAGAAAAACAGATCTTCAAGTAAGTGACACAGAGAGAGGATCAACTCTGAGTAAAATAGGTAAGAACTAAACTGAGTGAAGAGTTTTTGAACGAGAACTTCATCAGGGCTCCCTAATCTGGCTCCCAAGGTGGGCTTTAATAGGTAAATTTTGTATGTGGATCCTTGTGATTTAGACTGCTTGGCTATGAATCCTGGCTTTGGGCTCTGTCACTGGTTAATCTATGAGCTTCAGTTCATTTGTAAAATGGAGTTTGTTGGGATTAAGAGAGAATCAGTGCACAAAGTGGTCTCAGTAGAAGGTAACTGTTGTTATTCTATTCTGGGGTGAGGGCATCTCAAAGGAGTTCTTAACCTAGAAAGTTGGCCAACAAATGGCATGAAGGTGATTGGGAGCTACCGGGAATAATACCCTTGCGTAAAACGAAGCCGTTCTCTGTTAAAGTGGACTGCGGTGGGGAATCCAGAGGCCCAGGCTCTACTATTAACTTGCTGACAAACAGCTTCAGCTCTCTGGGTGATCTATTAAAAAACGGGGGACTGGTCCGAATTGGCAGCCGCAATGCAGCTTCACTGGCACTTTCTCTGGTGGAGGATAAAGACGCTTTGCCGCGGGGCAAGCGCGGAGTCTCCAGGACGACTACATCACCCAGCCTGCTTTGCGCTTCAGGCAGCGCCCTACGCTAGCACGCGAACCTCCCCGTTCCCCCAACCTCCAGTTACTGTCTCTCGCGAGAGGACGGGCCGCGCCGGCGGTAGCGATAGCGAGCTGTGGTGGTGGTGCTGGTGGTGGTGGTGGCGGCCGAGACGGCGGCGGCCATTTTGGTGGGGCCTCGGAAGCGGCGGCGGCGGTTCGCTGAGAGTAGCGTCTTCCATTTTTCCCACCCACCGCCCGCATCTCTGTGCCGCGAGAGGAGACAGTGGAAGCAAGGCGGTGAAAGTAGCCGCGGGCCCCAGGGGAATTTAAAGGCCGCGAAGGCGGCAGCCAAGAGGGGGCCCTCCCCCCTCCTCGGCGGGAGGGGGGGTGGAGCGCACGCCCCCGAGGACGCAGGTAAGGAGAGGGAGACAAGATGGCGGACGCTCCACAATTCTCCCTCCCCTGACGGGTGACTGCGCGCGCATCTTTCCGCCACCGCCTCTCCTCCCACCTTCCCGGGGTGCTGCGCGCGCACCTTCGGCCGGGGCCCCGGGGCCGGTGCGCGAGGCTGTCGGCGCGCGCCCATAGAGACAGGCTGAGGGGGGCCAGGCCGGCCAGCACAGGGCCCGGGCGCATCTCCTCTCCCCTCCCGCCCGTCTGCGCACGCGTGCCTGAGCGAGCGAGCGAGCCCTGAGAGGACGGACCCAGGTGCGCTCCTGCCCGCCCACCAACCCCAGCCCCCCCCCCAGGGGCGCGCGGGAAGAGGAAGGGGGGCGTGGGACGAGGAGTCGGGGCGCGCGCCCACCATATCCAGTCAGTAACCAGGACCTGGCGGCACGAACCCTCCCTTATGTCAGCCCTTCGCGGTCAGGTGGTGGGGGGCTCCCTGACGGGTAGGGATGAGAGACTTCCCAGCCTGCGACCCTTGTGTGCGTGGGTTTGGGCTCTGGCGGGAGCCCCCGGGCGGTGCGCGCAGCCGGCTCTCTCCACCTCCAGGCGCGCACGCGCGGGCCCCTCCCCCAGTCTGTCGCGCACGTTGGGTGGGGTGGGAGTCTAGGAGGGGGCGGGGCTAGCTTAGGGTTAGTGGCAACTGGGGGCAGAGGTCAGGGGTCACGCCGGGTCAGTCTGTTGGAAGGAGTTGGGAGAGAGCAGTGAAGCCGGGGGTCAAGAGTTCAGGCGTCTTGGATTCTGGTTAGCTCGGGTCCTGCGAATCTGTTGTGGAGGAAGGAGTGAATCAAAGGCTGCACCCTGGTGAAGGAATTTCCTTAAACACTGGGGAAACACTTCCGGGCCTTCGGTGGGTTTACCCCACCTGTTTCCGGGGCATGGTTCTTTGCCGAGCGGTCTTTCTCGCTTCTGACTTCTCCTGTTTCCTGCTGCAGTTCTTGTGTTTGGGGAAGTGTCTCATGCTGCAGGTAGAGGAGTTACAGGGCCCTGTCCCGAGGAACGGTGGCTTCTCCTGTGATTCTGTTCTACACTCACTGCAGAGGAGAGCCAACATCTTTTTGAGCTTCTGGATGTGACAGCTCTTTTTGCTTTGTTATATGCTCCCCATTCAGTGCTTGGAGCCTTTTGCACTTAAGCTTTTTAAACTTTTTTTTTTTTTTTTTTTTGCTTCACTTGAGGGCTTCTTCTCCAGCCAGAATCTTTGGTCTTTAGGGAATTACTTTTTCGCAAAACATGATTTGCTTTTATTTTTCTGAAATGTGAGCTTTTCTTACTATCATAACTCTCTTTTCAGCCTTTGATTTGGGTATATTTAAAAACCTCAAAAGTTGTTGGAAAAAAGGCTTTGATAGATGTTGGTAAATGTGGATTGGTTACTCACTGTTGTTTTCCATCCCTTCTGTTTGTTTCAGGCGTGATTCCCCTCAGTACGGCGGCACCGTGGAAGTACAGACTTTCACAGGGGGTGTGGTCTCAGCTCACACAGGTGAGGGTTCAGATACCGTTTTCTGTACTGATGCTAATGGGAGAGATGTTTGAGATAATTAATGAGAAAAATTATAAGTCAGTGTTTTCGGTTTGATGATAGTGGTACAAGAACAAACTGGACATGTGGTTAGAGAAAGGTTTGATCATCCTTGTTTTCCCAAGGCAAGTAGCACATTCTCCATGGTTTTGGCATGAAACTACCTCAGTTTCAGTCTTCCTGTCAATTCCATTTATGTCTCTGTGTGTGATGACTTTCTAACAAAATAGGGAAAGCATTAGAATGCATGCTTCATTTAGGTCAGGGATATTCTCTCTGTGTCTCTATCTTTAGTACATAGAAGGAACTAAACTTTTACTAAGGTGTGAAAGGTACCTGGCTTGCAAGGTAGGTGTGAGGATTATAGAACATATCAAGTTGGTGCTTAGTAAAGTATGACACATAGTGGAAGCTCGGAAAACATGGGCTATAATCATTGTTCACTATCTTTATTCTTCTTCTTTTTTTTCAAAAGATACTTATTTATTTATTTGACAGGGAGAGAGGTCACAAGTAAGCAGAGCAGCAGGCAGAAAGAGAGGGGGAAGCAGGCTCCCCGCTGAGCAGAGAGCCCAATGTGGGGCTCGAGTCCAGGACCCTGAGATCATGACCTGGCTTGAAGGCAGAGGCTTAACCCACTGAGCCACCCAGGCGCCCCCATTATCTTTATTCTTTAACGTTGTTCTTGGTTTTTGTTTGTGTTTGTTTTTTTAAGATTCATTAATGTTTTTAACCCCATTTTTACTCTTTTTACCCTATTTTAGGTGCTCCAGAGGCCGGTGGACCTGAGCGGAGGCTGGGACGCCCTAGTGGGCCCCGGGCCCTGGAAGGCGGGTCCCGGTGGCCGGTGGCCCAGAATGAGGCCAGCTCCCAGCATGCCCTGCAGCCGGACGCCAGCCCCTCGGCCAGCAGCAGTGGTGATAACGACCCAGTCATTCTTCAGGCGTCCAAAGAGGAGCCTGGGAGTGGGACCATGCAGAGCAGCCCCTCCCCTGCTCACCCTCAGCTCCCAATCCTGCAGACACAGGTTTGAATGTGGGGAGGGTTCCTTCTCTGGTTCTGCTTTGTGGGCTGTTGGATCTGAGGCAGAAAAAATGTAGCAAGTTTTAGCCACATTTCCATGATCCTAGCTATCTGTATTTGGAAAATTTTTGGTGCTCAGTTTGACCATCAATGTGATTAGATATTCACACACTTTTTGACAATAATATGATATTGATTGCTAAGAGTGTAGAAACTCATTGTTACCTGAAAAGGGTGGAATTAGGCCAGGTTTGAAATGGAGGTTGGGACAACATGCTTCCTAAGACAGAGCTTTGAGAATAGCTCAGTTTCCTTAGGAACTGGAAAAACACAAGTATTATGGATGGTGTGTAGTGTTTATACTTTTCTCATGCTAAGGAAATGTAAGAGTAGGAAAAATGTGGCTTTTGAGAGTAGACATACATAGGTTTGCATAGAGTAGGCTTTTGATGGGTATTGATTTGATACTTAAAATTTTCCTGAGCAGCTGGGGAATTTTGTGATACACAGTCTTTTGTCATTTAACTGAGGTAGGAATTTCAGTGGCACACTTGTTAAGCTGGTGTGTTGGAGTGATTTGTTTGCTCACATCCACATTTAAGTAAGACTTTGGTCTCTACTTACTATTTTTTGTGCACTACTTTATGAAGTAGTAGGTGAGTGTGTGAGAACAGTGACCAGCCCCCCTCGCCTTCCCTTCCACCTTCCTAGTAAAGGAAACTACCAGATTGATGAAGAACATAAAGAAGTTCAAGTAATCTGGGAGGTGGTCATTGTTGTTTTTTGAATTTGGTGGTAACTCAGATTTATTCTTATAGGTGAATCTGCCATTCTGTGTAAAGGAAGAAAAAATAGGGAGTTGTGTATGTAAATGAAATTCTTTAGGTTCTGAAAGGATCATTAGCATTTGAAATTATATGCTATGGTATTATTCTTGAATTTGGGAACTGTAAATGTCTGGCTATAACTCCTTTTGCATGCCAGGCATCTATAAACTTGGGTCTGCTATCTTGAACACCTTACCAAAACATTATCTTGTATATTTATGTTTATAAAAACGAGGTTGGTTATTTACTCAAGTTTTTTCTTGTAAGATAGAATGATGAGAACTTCCAACATCTTGCTAAGCATTCATTTTATCTATTATTTTCTGTTTATTTCTAGATGGTGTCGGACGGCATGACAGGCAGCAATCCTGTGTCCCCTGCCTCATCCAGTTCCCCAGCCTCTAGTGGGGCAGGCGGCATCTCCCCCCAGCATATAGCTCAAGATTCCTCTCTGGATGGACCTCCAGGGCCCCCAGATGGAGCCACAGTGCCCCTGGAGGGGCTTAACTTACCCCAGGCTGCTGACCTGGCTAACAAGGGCCCAAAGTGGGAGAAGAGCCATGCTGAGATTGCAGAGCAGGCCAAGCATGTACGTATTGGGAAGGCCCATGAGGATTCTTCTTTCCTCAACTTCTGTGTCCCATGAACATTTTACATTTCTTTCCTTATGGATTTAGAGTGTGGGCTCTGCCTTAAATTGCAAATCTTGAGCACGTTGCTTGGTCTCTGAACCTCCTTTTCTGTAAGTTAGAGGTGGTGTAGTAGTCTATAAACTGTTGTGAGTTCCAAGTTAAAGGAGGAAATAGATCTGGAATGCTTTTTAAACTGTGAGGTTCTTAAGATTTACTGGTTTCTACTGCTCATTTCTATCCTCTAGCCTCTGCTGCTTTACCCAGTGGTAAGTGTGGTCCCTGGACCAGCGGCATTGGCATCACCTGGCAGATTTGTTAGAAATTCAAGTTTGTTGGTACTCCTCTTACATCTATCCATTTAAAGCTCGAGGGTGGGGACCCAGCAGTCTGTCTTAAAAAGCACTCCACGTGATTCTGATGCATGCTTAAATACAAGAGCTATGGTCTAATAATGCCCTTGTCTTTCTTGATTTTTTTCTTCACCATCAGGCCATTTAGTTCCCTGTCCTCTCTGGCTTTTATTTCCTATGATTTAGTTTTTGTCAGGAGAAGACAAGAATAATGAAAGCAGTTGTCTTGAGTTTGTTTTTAAAGATTTATTTCTTTATTTTAGAGAGTAAGTTGTTCAGGGGGAGGCAGAAGGATAGGAACAGGGAGAGAAGCTGAGAGGGGAGTCTGACAGGGTTGCTGGATCCTACAAACCTGAGATCATGACCTGAGCTGAAATCAGTAGTCCAGTGCTCAGCTGACTGAGCCACTAGGGCTCCCAGTTGTCTTGAGTTTTTAAGTCACTTTTGTAGATTTCAAATGCTTTCACTTTTTTGGGTGTGAAATTTAACCATTGTAGAAACATGTTACCTTTTTATCATACTATTGTTTAATCTTTTACATATAATTTTTCAGTATTTTCACCAAAATGTATATTTTTACAAAAACAAATCAGATTGTGTATGTTAGGCTTTATATATTTAAGCATGAACATACTCTTAAGTGGAATTCGACAGCGATGAAGATTCTTTGTATCCAATCTGTAAGGGAGGGTACACCCTCTGCTTCCCTGGAGGCTTCCTTTGAAATCTGTTTTCTTCAGTCTTTCCTATGTTCGTGGGGCATGGAGATTGAGTGAAATAATGGAAAGAACATGAAATCTGTGTCTGGAGTCATTAGACCTATTTTTAATTCCCAGCTCTTACCACTTCCTGGTTGTGTGATCTCAAGTAAATCACTTAATCTCTCATTTTTCCCCCCCTCACTTGAAAAGGTTATAATACTTTATTACCTGCAGGATTGGTATGCGGACTTTAAGACACATAAAACATTCAGTCCAGACAGTGCCTATATTTAATCAGTGCCCAGGAATTCAGTTGTCTTCATGAGGTAGCATGTGTGTGCAGTAACTTGACTGACCTAGCTCTTCCTTGTTAGGAGGCTGAGATTGAGACTCGGATTGCTGAGCTGCGGAAGGAGGGTTTCTGGTCATTGAAGAGGCTGCCTAAGGTGCCTGAGCCTCCCCGCCCCAAAGGGCACTGGGACTATCTTTGTGAGGA